CCGACTCCAACTCCTTGCACATTTCATTGTAATATTTTGCTTTGTCATCCCGTGCTGCCTTTTGAAATCTTCTATTCAACTCTTTAGTATCTGAATGAAGAGATACATAGAATAGTAGAAAATTATATTATACAACTATTCTAGATGTAATCAATATGTTCAAGAAAGAAAGTAAAGCATAAACAGAATGAAGAGAGAAATGTAAGATACCTCCAAAGAAAACTCAAATGGAACTCGTAGAGGTGTGTAACATAGTATATGAAATGAAAAACACACTGCATAATATTAATATCAAATTATACTGTGTAAAACAAATGGAGAACTTGAAAAAAGAGACACCAACAGCAAACAATTCAACATACAACAGATAAAGAAAAAAAATAGCAAAGGAAAATTGGCCTGTGTGACAATATCCAGGAGTCTGACATATCTGTAAATTCTATCAGTATTACTAATGATAGTTTTAGTGATAAGAGAGTGAGATAGAAAAAATATTAGAAGAGGAAACAACCAAAATGTTTTCCATTTTGATGGAAACACTACACTCACATATCAAAGAAGTTCAATGAACCTAAACAGAAGAAACCAATAAAATCACAGCAAGACACATCATAATAAAACTGGTGTTACAAAAAACTAAATAAAAAACAATCAAAGTAAAATATACACATTACATATAGAGGAACAAATACAAGAATGACAGAAAACTTCTTGTCAGAAACCATGTAAGCCAGAAGATAACATAAAAAAAATTAATGTACTGAAAGAAAAAATTTACTAAAAGAGAAAACTGCAAACCTAGAATTCCATACTTACAAAAATGTAAAAAAGTAACTTTAAAGATTAAAATTTCCAAGGATATTTATCAACAATACTTGTACTATCAGAAATATTAAGCAAAAACATTTAAGGAGAAATACAATGATAGCAAGAGGAAAATGGAACATCCACAAAGGAATAAAAATAAATATAAAATATATGGATAAATATTAATATATTTATTCTCATTTTCAATATAATTACAACACAATAGATTAAAGAGAAACAATGTATTTGTGAGCTTGTATCATTATAGAAATAGTGTTGAAAGAGAAAAGACAGAAGATGAGAAATAGAGGTATTGAGATTCTTATATGTGAAATGATATTATTTGAAGGCAGATTTCAATAAGTTAATATGTAATTAAAAAAGCAATTTCTCTCTATCTCCTCTCCATACCTCCAAAACCAAAAGTTTATAAATAAATTATATAAGCAAAATGAAATCACACATACACACACACACAAATACTCAGTGCAAAAAAGGGCAGAGTGAAGTAAAAAGTAAACAAGGGGTAAAAAGGAGGTAAGAAAAAGTAAAAAGTAAACAAAGACAAACCAAAAAAATGGGGAAAATAAGAAAAAAAAACCAAACAGCAAAATCTTATATTTAAACCCAGCCAATCATGTTGTTATTGTTAGGTGCTGTCAAGTTAAGTACGACTCATAACAACCCTATCTTTGAACAACAGATTTGAACCTGATCCTATCCTTTGCTATCCTCATCATCTCTGAAACATTTGAGCCCGTTGCTGCAGTCAGTGTGCTAATCCATCCAGCTGAGG